TTCCAAGTGCCCTCTGGACTAATTGGCACGAAGTGAGAATTTTCTCATTTGGAAGAGAAAGAGCCTGTTCTCCAGGGAAGGCTCTTCAAGGTAATTGCTTTCTCAGAGATTCCAGCCCCCACCTTTGGCAACCTTCACCAGAGACAAATCCCTTTTGCTGTTAAGGAGCTAGAAACCCACAGAAGGAAAAATAGGAACTCGGGACAGACTTGCCGAGACCTTTGAAACCAGTGACCTTGAGAAGGGGAGGAAGTGGGGGAAAGGCCAGTGCAGGCAAAGGGCAACACAGCTCTAGCTAGACTTTTCCATTGTCCTTTTTCTAAGGAGCTTCCAGGATGGGGTGCGTTGGTAGAAGGAGCTCATATATCAACCAGGATTCCAAGCAAGGGGGGGGGGTGGCACTGATTTGGAAAAAAAATCTTTAACAAGACACCTGGGCTGAAGGGAGGCAGCAAAGATAGAGCTGGGTAAGAAAAGAGGGTGGCTAACCTGGGCAAGACTCCAAGAGCAATTGGTGTGTGCCCAGGGGTGAGTGGGGAGTGAGAGGGAAAAGCCCAGAGAAGAGGGAAGTCCTCTTTGGGCCACCACCTGCCACTCCAGGTGAGGAATGTGGGGGAACCGGCCAAAGGGGGGGTGACAAACAAATCGGGGGGCTGGCTGGAAAGAAGCAATGAAGACCAAAATGGAATTGTCATTTTCTGGGGGTTATGGATTGTGATTTCCTCCCTCAGCTCTGCTTTGAAATCTTCACTACTGTTGGACACAGGAGATAGTACAGCCCGGCTGGGGGTGGCACTTTAATTTTTTAAGATTTTTTTTTAAATTTATTTTTTAAAAGAGAGAGATGAAGGTAGAGAGAGAAAAAAGAGAAAAACGTTAATGTGAGAACAGAATACTGAGTTGTGTCCTGTACATCCCCCACCAGGGATGGAGCCCACAACCCAGGCATGTGCCCTAACTGGGAATCAAACCTGCAACCTTTTGTGCACCAGACGATGCCTAACCAACTGAGCTACATTGGCCAGGCATGTTTTATTTTTTTAATCTGTACTTTCTAATCTTTTCTACAATGACAAGGTAGAAATAGGGGGAAATAATTGTTAAAAATAAAAGTGATAGCTAGAAAATTCATCCACCAGATACTCACCAAGCCTGTACTGTGGCCAGCATTGGGCTTGGCACTAAATGCACAAAAGAGACAAGACTCCTGCATTCAAAAAAACTGAGGGAAACCTTTACAAGACAAATAAATATGTCCTGAGACATACATGCATGCATGCAACAAAAGAAATGACTGGGTGCTGTGGCTGAGAGGAACTGGAGGAGGCTGTGAGGGACCGAACCTAATTTAGACAGCAGTTAGCAGGTGACGTTCAGGCTCAGACCTTAAGGAGGCAAAGAAGCCTGCAACACAGAGTTGGCGAAGAGAGTTCTAAACACAGAAAGGGCCCCGGGGAGGGTTCTAAGACAAGAGCGAGCTTGAAATGGGAGGGAGTGTTTGGGAAGTGGAGGTGAGATTGTACAGTGGGCAGGGCCAGCTCACGCAGAGCCTTGACAAGAAGTTTGGCCTTTATTCTCACTGCAAGAGGAAGCCAGCCCTGGCCGGGTAGCTCAGTTGGTTAGAGTGTCATCCCAATACACCAAGGTTGCAGGTTTGATTTTCGGTCAGGGTATCAGGGCACAAACAAGAATCAATCAACCAATGAATGCATAAATAAGTGGAAGAACAAATTGATTGATGTTTCTCTCTCTCTCTCTCTCTCTCTCTCTCTCTCTCACCAATCAATCACTAAAAAGGAAAAGGAAGCCAATTAGGAGGCGCTTGGAAGAGAAAAGACTGGGTGGTGCTGGTGGAGATGGAAAGTGGGTGGATTTAGGGTATTTTTTTGAAGGGAGAACAAATAGATAAAACATGACATTGGATTGGCAGTGGGGACTAAGACAGAGGGAGGTGTCATGGGTGGCTTCCCGTTTTCTGGCTTGGAATTACTTCCCAAAGTGAGGCAGACTGTGCGAGGAACAGGTTTTGACAGGTTACATTTCAGATGTCTGGGTTTATGAAAAGGGTGGCGCTCAGAGGTGGCTCGGCCCTCTGATGTGATAACAAGAGGAACAGTTCACCAAGTTGCTTTGGCATAACTTGACAGATTTATAAAGTTTTAACTCCTTTTGTTTTTGTTAACTCCTTATTTGTAGAACTGTTAAGGGTCTAAAAGAGTCATGTAGAATTTCGAGTTGTACTTTTTTTTTATGGGTGACAGTATGTGCTATGGTGGCACTTGGTAGTTTGGGGTTTTATAAAGATAACAGGGTATAATCCTCATGAATGTCAAAGGTCTACTATAGATACAACAGACAATGTATTGAACTAATTTCCAATAAAACTTTATGGACAATATAAAGCCACTAGTTGGTATGCAATCTGTGGCTAGACAATAGTTACCTTTTTTCTAGCACTTACTATATACTGTGCATTGTTACATACTCTATAAATATCCCATTTGAGCCCCACATTTTTTATCACCCATCTTACATGTGAGAGAAAAAGGCTCAGAGGGGTTGAGTACCTTGCCCAGGGTCACAGAGCTAGCAAGGGGCAGAGTCTGTATATGTCTGAGCGGATGAGAAAGCTTGGGTTTCTATGAAGCAGGTGTGGTCCTTGGTTACAGCAGGGTTATCTGGGAAGCACAGGTTAAGATGGGGTTGAGAATGGAAAGGTTTATTGGGGAGTGATACTCATGGACACATAAGACTCCAATGCAGACCTGTCCAAGTCTCTGCCAGCCCAACATGGAGCCCTGAAGCAAAGACCACCCATGAGAGGGGGCATGTGTTGGGCAGAAATGGGTAGATCCTTGCCGCACTACCTCAACTCACCCAGAGCACTCTGGGAAGAGCATGATTGCATCTTGAAAGCTGGGCCGAACCCCAAAGGCTGTCAGTTAATTGTGTTCCTTGTATTTGGGCAGGAGCCCATTCTTAAAGGGGATCTGAACAGTGCATCTTCTCACCTGCCACACGCTCTGAAAACTGCCAGCATGCTTTTCATCCCAGAAGAGACAGTGTGTTACTTATCCACTGCTGTGTAACAAATTGTCCCCAAATGCACCAGCTTAAAACAACGAACATTTGTTATCTCACAGTTTCTGTGGGTGCCTATTCAAACAAACATCACTGATAACAATAAAGATTTTAGCTTCACTCGCTCTGAATTGGGTATTGTATTAGCAGGTCCTTACACGCATCATCTCACCACAACTCCTTTATTCACCCAAGGTTCATCGGGGACCAGCCCTCTGAGCTGCGGAGAACAGAATGACAAATGAAGTACTCTCCTGCTCTTGAGGTGCTCATGTCCAGAGGTACCATTTGTTTCAATTTTGCAAAGGAGGAAAGGACAAGTGACACAGTTAACTGACAGCCTTTGGGGTTGAGCTAGGAGGCCAAAGCAAGTCCGTGTGGCTTCAAGGCCAGTGATTTTCGTGAAGACAGCATACTCCTGAATCCACAAGCCTGGACACATTGCTAGCCTGAGAACCACTGTGAGGAAGGAGCAAGTCGCAAAGAACACACACAATATAATTTCATGTATATGAAGTTTAAAAACAGAGGCTTGCTTGGCGGTGCCCAGGTAGCAGTAACAATAAAGAGAAAGGCAAGGAAATGATTTCTACAAGTCAGCATAGTGACCATATCTGGAGGAGGGGGGAAATGTGATGAAGGTGGGGGGTCCACAGGGGCTTACGCGTGACTGAGTGGTCTAGACGTGGTTGCTGGTTATGGGGTATCCAATTTACAATGATGCATTAAACTGTACACAGGGACCTTAGCCGGTTTGGCTCACTGGATAGAGCATCAGCCTGCGAACTGAAAGGTCCCAGGTTCGATTCTAGTCAAGGGCACATGCCTGGGTTGTGGGCTGGATCCCCAATGGGGGGCGTGCAGGAGGCAGCCAATCCATGGTTTTCTCTCATCATGGATGTTTCTATCTCTCCCTCTTCCTTCCTCTCTGAAATCAATAATAATAATTATATATGTATTAGAGGCCTGTTGCACAAAGAGATTCATGCAATAGGCCTTCCCTTCTCCTGGCTGCCGGCACAGGTTTTCCTCTGGCACCCAGGACCCAGGCCTTCGCTCTGGCAGGAGCCGCCTTCAGTCTTCTGTCTTCGCTGCTCTGGCTCACCTTCAGTCTTCCCTCTGCCTCTTGGAGCCTGCGTATGCAAATTAACCACCATCTTTGTTGGTGGTTAATTTGCATATCGTGCTGATTAGCCAATGGGAGGCATAGCGAAGGTATGGTCAATTACCATGTTTGTCTCTTATTAGATAGATGTATGTATGTATGTATATATATTCTAAAACCCACAAATGTATTAAAATTTTTTTAAAAAAATTGTACATATGTGGGGTGTCTTTTACTCCTCTGTATGTACGACATATTTCACAATAAATACAATTTCAATGAAAACAACTGTATCCAATGGGATGCTATTTGCCAGGTGCAGGCACCTGGGACGGCAGGCTAAACAGATCCTTTTTCTCAGAGACACAAGGAGCATGAGTCTTTTTGCCTCCCGCAAACCCCCCAAACAGTTGGGTTTACATCTTGGCTCATCAACATGTTCTTAAGGTGTGTTACACCCAAAATAAACTCTGAGGAGGACAGTGCTTGGTGAGATCATGTTGACATTTGATACAACGTGTCTGAGCAAGTTGGCTTTTGTTTTTCCTATTCCTGAAAGGGTGGCTGAAGAATGAAACCCGATTCACACTGTCACAACAGTCACTGAGATCTTTTAACCTAAAGAACAACTTCGTATCAGAGTGCCAGGAAAAGCTCACTCCCGGGTTCCTTGGATTAATTAGGCTTCCTCCTACTTCCTTTCAGAACCTATCAAAAAAGCAGAGGGGACTTAGACTTGTAGCTTGGGTTCTGTAAAGCCAGACCAGCTGGAAATGCCCAGCTCCCTAGATGATCCTTTCTTGGAGGGTCACAGTGGCTGTGTGATCCTTGCCTGGCACTGCTCTCTCTGGGCCTGTTTCCTCCACTGGGGGCTGGGCCCTAACCCCTCAGAGGGAGACTCCCCTGATTGGGACCCATGGGCATGAGCAGGTGCAGACTGTGTATGTGTGTGGAGCAGGTGACTGGGACAGGGGCTGGGCATGGGGCCTTGGGAGGCCTAGTGGTCTTTGTCCTTGGCACCGTGTTTGAGGATGCGGGTGAACTCCAGGTAGTTGAAGTTGCCTTTCTTGTCAATGGGTGCCTCACGGTACATCTCGTCCACTTCCTCGTCTGTGAAGCGGTCACCCATGGTGGTGAGCAGCTCATGGGTAAAACCTGAGGCCTCTTCGCCGAAGCAGGCAAAGGCCTTGTGGGTCACGTCCTCGGGGTCTGTGCCATTCAGCTTCTCCCCAAACGCCATCAGGAACATGGTGAAGGTGACGGGCCCAGGGACCTCGCTCAGCATGCCCTCCAAGTACTCATCTGTGGGGCTCTTTCCCAGGGCAGCCAGCATGTCATGCAAGTCCTCCTTGTCAATGAAGCCATCTTGGTTCTGGGCGATCATGTTGCAGGCCTCCTTAAACTCCTGAACCTGGGACTGGTCAAACATTGCAAAGACATTGGATGTGGCCCGCTGTGGCTGCTTCGTGGTGATCTTGGCCTTGGCTCGCTTACTGGACATCTTGGCTTCAGGTGGGTGGGGTTTCCATGGTGTGGAGAAGGTACTCTTTCAGTACGCAGAGCTGGTGCCCTGTATTTTTATTTCCTAAATTTGGCAACCTTGGCAGAGGGTACTCAGCTTGTAGCAAGGGACACAATGGGGTTTGGGCAGGCTGCTCCTGAGAAGCTAGCAGCTGATAAGTTTGATCTGCTCACCATCTCCACTTCTCTCCCTTTCCACAGCCATTGGGGACGCCTGCCTAGTGGGCAGGCTGTGCACCTGTTCTGCACCAGATAATTTCTATTAAGGAATTACTGTTGATTACACTGTATCATAATAGCATTATCATTCTTTTTAAAAGGGGTTTTTTATCTCTTAGAGATGTATACTAAAATATTTATAGATAAAATAAGCTGACATTTGCTTCAACATAGTATCAGGAGGGAATACATACTGTCAGAAAAAAGGCAGATCATGCCTGGCCGGTGTGGCTCAGTGGTAGAGCATCAGCCCATGCACCAACAAAGGATTTTGGATTTGATTCCCAGTCAAGGGCACGTACCTGGTCAGGGTGCATTCAGGAAGCAACCAATTGATGTGTCTCTGTCATATTGATGTTTCTCACTCTCTCTTTCTCTCCCCTCATCTCTCTTTCTCTTCCCCCTCTTCCCTCTCTTCCACTGTGTCTAAAAAGTAGAAATGAAAAAATCAATGGCCTAACTGGCATGGCTCAGTAGTTGAGCGTCCACTTATGAACAAGGAGGTCACGGTTTGATTCCCAGTCAGGGCACATGCCCAAGTTGCGGGCTCGATCCCCAGTGGAGGCAGCCAATCAATGATTCTCTCTCATCATTGATGTTTCTCTCTCTCCCTTCCTCTCTGAAATCAATAAAAAAATATTTTTAAAAAAATCAATGGACTGCCGAAACTGGTTTGGCTCAGTGGATAGAGCGTCGGCCTGCGGACTGAAAGGTCCCGGGTTCAATTCCGGTCAAGGGCATGTACCTGGGTTGCGGGCACATCCCCAGTAGAAGATGTGCAGGAGGCAGCTGATTGGTGTTTCTCTCTCATCGATGTTTCTGACTCTGTCTCTCTCCCTTCCTCTCTATAAAAAAATCAATAAAATATACCGTATTTAAAAAAATAAAAAAAATAAAAAAATCAATGGACAAAATATCCTTGTGTGAGGATTAACAACAACAACAACAAAAGGCAGATCATGGTTGCCTGGGATTGGAAGCAGAGGAAGGGATGGACTGCAAAGGGACACAAGGCAATTTGGAGGATGATAGAAATGTTCTGTATTTTGATAATGGCGATGGTTTCAAGGTGTTTTATATCTGTTGTATAGTAAACAACTCATCAAGTTGTATGTTAAAATGAATCCAGCTTAGGTACATAAACTTTACCATAATAAAGGTATACATTTAATAAAGGTATACCTTACTAAAAGTAAAAGTACTAGTTAAACAACTAAAATATGGAAGGAGAAGTGGATGAGCATGTGGATTAGACAGGGTTAGCCACAGGATGCTGGTTGGTATGGCAGGTGACGCTTATGCATAAAGTTCATTACACTGACCATCTGCTCTTTGAACTAGCTATGTTTAAATTTCTCCATAATAAAAAGTTTTTCAGCCCTGGCCTGTTTTGCTCAGTGGATAGAGCACCAGCCTGCAGACTGAAGGGTCCCCAGGTTCGATTCTGGTCAAGAGCACATGTCCGGGTTGTGGGCTGGATCCCCAATGGGGGGCGTGCAGGAGGCAGCCAATCAATGATTTTCTCTCATCATTGATGTTTCTATCTCTCTCTCCCTCTCCTTTCTCTGAAATAAAAATATATATTTAAATTTTTTTTTCAAAAGGTAAGGCATATAAGACAATAAGAGAAAAAAGAAAAAAATTCCAAATTAGATGTTTTGGAATTTTTCAATAGGGGAGATTTGCTTTAAAAAAAATTCATTGCTATGAGATTTGGGTGTGATAACTATGAATGACTGGAAGAAAATGGTTACCATCTAGGATTTTACATTTGTATTTCCTCTGACTCTAAGTTCTCATTTCACATTAATGAACAAAACTGAAGTCCTAAAAAAGTAAAAAGCACAGGATCATATTACCGTGTAAATGTCCTTTCAATCTTTCTTTGTTTAGTCCAGCTGCATTTTTGCATGTAATACGCCTGTATTTGCCACCTGTTTTCTGGTTCCAAGGGAGGCTGACTCATAGTCGCAAAGGGTGGGGTGTGCAAGAAGCCCTCTGGAAATTTGGTGAAGCAGAACTTCGAAATACTGATGTAGCCACACACAACCACCGCTGATCTGGCCAGGCATTGCTTGGTGGGGGCTGGGATGCTATGCTGTTAGAAAGCGCCCCGCCTCTCCCCACAGGGGTGGCCTCCGTGTTAATTGCTTCTTAACGGTTGGGAACCAGCTTTCCCGCCAAGTGTCTGAAGGACACACCCAGTTCCCTGGCTCGGGCTGGATGTGAAAGTGAAAGGTTCCGACTGAACTCCCTGGCTCGGAACTGTCAGGAGGAAGAACAGGTGGCGCTTAACTCAAGGGTGCTCCCAAGTGGCTGCGGACCAGCAATGGTCCCCTACGGAGAGAGGCAAGATGTGTGAGCCAAACTGTAAGTATGGAAGTACAGGTACTGGATACAGAGGCCTTGACTGTAACTTCCACCAGTGGCTGGATATGCCAGCATCACAGGGGACACCAGGAGCTTAGAACAAATGCATCATTATGCTTGATCATGTCCTAGGTCAGGGGTTCTCAACCTGTGGGTCGCAACCCCTTGGGGGGTCAACAACCCTTTCACAGGGGTCGCCTAAGACCATTGGAAAACACATATATAATTACATATTGTTTTTGTGATTAATCACTATGCTTTACTTATGTTCAATTTGTAACAATGAAAATACATCCTGCATATCAGATACTTACATTACGATTCATAACAGTAGCAACATTACAGTTATGAAGTAGCAACGAAAATAATTTTATGGTTGGGGGGTCACCACAACATGAGGAACTATATTAAAGGGTCGCAGCATTAGGAAGGTTGAGAACCACTGCCTTAGCTGGTTTTGCTCAGTGGGTAGAGCGTCGGCCAGCGGACTGAACGATCCCAGGTTCGATTCCAGTCAAGGGCACACGCCCAGGTTGTGGGCTGGATCCCCAGTGGGGGGCGTGCAGCAGACAGCCTATCAATGATTCTCTCTCATCATTGATGTTTCAAATATCTCTCTCTCTCCCTTTCCCTTCCTCTCTGAAATCAATAAAAAAATATTTTAAAAATTGCACACTAATATTATTTTATAAGGACACCATACATCATATAAGAACACTGTTTGCGTCTTTTCAATACTATTGTTTTGCTGCTTATTCAGTCTTTTAAAAATGAATTCTAGTAGTAGCATGTGAATTTTTTTGTGTGCACTCGATGTTTCACTTTATTTTATTTTTTAAATATATTTTATTGACTTCAGAGAGGAAGGAAGATAGAAATATTAATGATGAGAGAGAAACATTGATCGGCTGCCTCCTGCACGCCCCACACTGGGGATCAAGCCTGCAACCCAGGCATGTGTCCTGACCAGGAATCAAACCATGACTTCTTGGTTCATAGGTCAATGCCCAACCACTGAGCCACAGATGTTTCACTTCAGTCAAGAACAGAAGGGTTTTCAGACACAAATATCTTAATTGACTAAAACTGACCTTAAGGATTCATCATAAAACTGTCACAGCAGTAACGAAATATATGTCTTTGGACTTAGGATATAAAAACGTATAAAAGCTATTTCTACAATTTCTTTCTCCATCTAAAATCATTTTGCTGTAAATTAAATATTAAATTTTCTGCCATGCTTGTGCCATGGAAAACCTGTGATCATTAGCCTGAGTTGGATTGCGTTCTCTGGGGACCCGCTTACACTGTCAGGAGGATGTGACAGCCACTTTTCAGGATCACAATCCAATAAGCATCGTGCAGCTCAGAGCCTTTCAGTTTTCACATTCAGTGGCAGCTGTTACACATGCAATTTTCTTCAGATGTTAACGGACAGGCCAGAATTGCATTTGGCTTTCTGAGTCATAACTTTGTTATAAATAACTTTTTTTTTTATGGTCCTCATTGTTTTAATCAATAATTAGGTCTTCGTTTCTTGAAGAATATGAAGTGTCAGGGGTTTTATCTGAGGTTCTCAAATTGTGGGTTGGAAGACTTTTTTTGTTCATTTTCATCGGATTAGTGATGAAATCTTTATTAAATAATTTGAAAGTCCTGTCTGCAAATTTTATGTGGGTCATGCTCAGCAGAAGTCTGCTCACTTTCATTGTTTCCAGTTTTCTGAAATGTAAGCAGACTGCTTTCTATTTCTTCTCTGAGCTCCACTTTTGAATTTTCTATCTCTGTGATGATCTTGACTTGTACTCATTTTCAAAATTATTTGAATAAAGCTGACATTTATATCTACATTTTTGGGCAACCCACATCTTATTACATTTTTAATTAAAATTCATAATTCTAGCCTTCGGTATGCATCTAGTTGCCACTGTATTTGTCCATTCAGTCAACACACACACTAATGTTTCATGATTATTGCATCTATACCTGCAGATACACAAATTTAAGAGTAATATGAATTATTTAATGTCACAAAATATTTTTGGCTGTCACTTGCAATGGTTGCGAACAGCAGAACCATGTACTGCTGGGTAATACCTTGTTATACAAGAGTCTATTCATGACATCTGAGAGGAAGGATTTGACATGTTAATTGGTTTGTCTTTTATTCTTAAGTGCTTCCTCCTCCTCACCACTCTGAAGCTGTGTCTAGCTCCATGTTAGCAGCAGCACAACCTACAAATGTTCATGGCATTTGGTCACAGTCCCTTTCTGTTTCAAGGACATAGGACTAAAAATGTAACCAAGCAAATTCTTGGGTGTATAGACTGTGCTGTGCCAGCACTGGGGGCCAAATCCCAACTGATGGGCATCCTTACATTTCTTGATACACTTATCTGTTGTGTTCATGATGTGTGCGGTCCTCCAATGCT